CCAGGGACACAGCCATCCTCGGGGACTAAGCAGGAGGAGGAATGTGATGTCCCAGAATCTCAGGGACAGACGGGTGGGTCCTGCCCACCGCCCAGCTCTCCTCTTTCTCTCCTGCTTTGGGTCCTCCTCGCCCGGCGTGGGGTGATGGCCGCTCCCACCTGGATTCCTGGAATGGTCCCTGGTTTATTCTTAAATTCTTCCACAGGGCAAAGCCAGACACGTTTGCCAAAACTGACCCTGAACCTGGCACTGGCTGGGCAGGGCCTCGTACTGTAGGTCACCCTATGGGCCGTCCCCAGCAGGCCCTGATTTGAGAACTGCTGGCCACTTGTACCTGGGAGGGGACGGAACCCGCTGGGCCCTCCTCTTATCTGTCTGTGTGGCAGCCCCTGGCCAGCACCTGGCCACACGTCCCAAGGAGAAAGCTGCTAGAACCTCACTTTACAAAGTCCTCAGCCTGAGCCGCACTGGCCAAGCGGCCCTCCTGGCCTGGGCAGGCGCAGATGGTTCCAGAACTCAATCTGCAGAAACCAGACCCTGAAGGCCCCCAGCTACGTCCAGCGCAGCATCAGCGTGGAGCGGAACCCAGAGCTGGACAGCAACGCCTGCCCTGCCCAGGGCCTCTGTCAACAGGGCCTGTGGCAAGAGGCGTCCCCAGCTGAGGGGAAGCCGTGTCCCGTGGAGAGCTGGCGTCGTCTTCCAGACCTGTCACCTGACGGTGCCATATGGCGGGGGGAGGGGACGCTCCTTCTGCCAGTGGTGCTCCAGGTGCCTCCTGTGCTTGGAAAAGGTGAGCAGGGTTCCCAGAGTGTCCCAGACACAGCTGCCCACGCTGGCCAGCAGCCCAGAGACCGCAGATGGCCTCAGCAGCCACTGGAAGTGGGGACAGGGACACGTGGGCCATGGAGCCCCTCTCCCTCACCAAGGGCAGCTTCCGCTGTGTCCCGTCATTCACCTTGAACTAAAGGCTGTGACGGGGGAAGTCCAGAGCGGCCCATCCTGCATTTCCTGACGTCCTGCGGGCTCCCGGCTGGCTGAGGATGGAACCCTCCCAGGTGTCCCTGTGAGTTTCCAGGGCCACAGAAACCAGTGCCACAGACCAGGGGCTTGACCTCAGCAACTTCTCCTGTCCCAGCCTGGAGGGCAGAGGTCCAAGGCCAAGATGCAGGGGGTGGTCCATCTGGGGCCGTAGTGGCCTGGGCCCTGACAGTGGCCATGCCTGAAGTCCTTCTTCCCCAGTCGTCTGTGTCCAAATGTCCCTTTGTATTGGCACTTGTTCATGTGGGAGGAGGGCCACCCTCACGGGCCTGATGAGTTTCCCACAGAGGGGACTGGCTGACCTCTGTATGGTGTCCCCAGTAGGTCAGAGTCACAGGGACTTCCAGATGCGGAATCCCCGGGGGACACTGTCTCTTAGGGTCTGATCTGGAACCGCTCGGTCCCCAGTGTGGTGCTGCTGGAGGCCGGAACCTTCAGGGGGGACCTGGTGGGAAGTGCACTGGGGTCATGGGGCCCCAGCCTTGGCTAACACCGTCCAGCCACAGCACAGCCCGAGGGACGCCCAGCAGATGCCCCCAGAGCAGCTCAGAGGAGGGAGCTATCCCAGGACCTGGAGATCGGGACAGGCCAGCGGATGGGGTGGCGGGAGGGGCCAGGAGACACCCCCATTCCCCAGTGGCCAGGGAGCTGCATCCCAGAGTCCAGAATGCGTCCTGACCAGAGCCGCCCTGGACGGACCTGTGAGGTCAGTTCCCCTCTCAGGGCCACAAGCCACCCTCACGATGCTCACGGGGATCCAGCTTCCGTGACCCGGGGTTTGTGTGTCACACACAGATGCAAAATGAGCCCAGCGGAAAGATCCCCGGTGGTTAGACAGCAGCACCTGACGCTGTGCACTCCTTCACTGATCCAAGAAGTATTCTGAGACCCTACTGCGTGCAGCCTGGCTCTGAGGGCTGAGGACGCTCATGACTTTAGGTCCTGGGAGCCCCCGATGTCCAGCACAAACAGCAGAGGCTGGACAGGGACAGGTTTATTTCTGCTGCCCAGGTTGTATGGCAGCCTTGCTGCATGAAGTCCCAGGGGTGACCCTCCTTGCCTGCTTCTGCTCTGCTCGCCACAGTATTGTCTGCCAAGAGAGCCCTGTGGTTCAAGATGGCTGCTCTAGCTCGAGCCATTTCAGCTGCATCTAAGCCAGCATGAAGAGGGCACAAAGGAAGAATGTGTACCTCTCCCTTAGAGTCACGTCCCGGGAGGTTCCACCCACATGCACTAATGTTCCACAGGCTCTAACACAGCCCTGGGGCCACACCAGCTGCAAGGGGAGCTGGCACCCAAGTCACCCCCTAACTAAGCAAGACCCCACGGGAGCAGGGCCAGCTCACATGGCCAGAGGGCAGCTCTCCACAGCCTGAGAGACACCCAGGCTCACAAGCCCCACCCAGGGTTTCCCTGCTTGTTCCAAAGCATGGCAGGGTCCAAGTCCAGAGCTCACAGTGTCACCGCCCCATGACGAGCAAGGTGGGACAGGCAGTCACCTCCGTTCAGACCTCTCTCCTGTCCCGTCCTGTGATGTTAGGGGCAGCTGAAGTGCCTCTCTAGGCCCTCTCCAGAGCCGCGTCTGAAACCTGCCCCTCCCAGCATCACTCAGGGCTTGACCTGGCCAAAGCAGCACAGAGCCCCGTCAGCGTCCTGGGGCTGCTGCACCACATCACACCAACCTGTCGCCTTTGGACGGCACAGAGCCCTCCTCTGGTGCCTGGAGGCCGGAAGTCTGAAATCAAGGTGTCACAGGGCCATGCTCCCTCCAGAC